CAGGGGCAAATCAAACCCAAGGACCATTCTTTCTTACTGTACATCATGGCATTACAACTCTTGCACAAACATTCATGCACATATACATGCTTGCAAATGCACCCACACACAGCTAATCTCAAGATCCATAATGAATTGCTAGTAGGGGACAAGGAGCAAAAAGAAAAAACTTAGGTATGACTAAAACTGTTTAAACTGAAACTTTCATTAGCATACAGTTCTCCTCATATTTTACATAGCTCTTGAATACTTTGATTCAAAAATTACCCTCATAATTTATTTCATACATCCCCCACAGGCTGAGCCTGGGCCCACCACACAAGGCACTTCCCTGAAGCTTGAAAGCTGTTTAATCTTCTTTTCTGGTCCCTCTGAGATAACTTCTGAATGGACTCTCTAAGCTCCTTATACTAAAAGGTGATCATAGTGAAAGGCCAGAAGTTGCCAAGTTCCCTTCAGAGGCTGGACACGTGCTGGGCTTGACCAGTTATCAGTAAACACAGATAGATGTCAACCTGTTGTACAAAAGGGTCTGTGTATGCTGGAGCGAATATATATATATATATATTAGAAATTTCCTCATGACAATAAGAAATCACTAGGAAATTACCAGGAGGGAGAAAAAGACAAATATTTTTAAATGAGTCTGAATGTTTCCCTTTGTGACTGATTGAAATAAGAGTTATGAGGTCTGGATTCAGCCTTTTATTATGAGACACTGAGGTTCTGCAGTATATTTTTTCCTTTCTTTAATTTAGGTCTGTGCAAAAAATTGGCATGAAATACAAATAAATGACAAAGCACTGAGAATTAGGCCATTTGTCTGTAAAACCAGACATTATCCCCAAAATAGAAAAACACAGGAAAATGCATCAAAATGTGTTAGAGATGACAGGCCATACATTACTCAGGCTGTTAATGCAATTGTAGGTCACTTTTCGGTACCAGTGAGTCATAGAAGCCTAACATTAAATGTAAGAGGCATCATACAGACTAATATTAATTAAAATAACAATTACTGCTGCGTGCAGCATTTGCTGGATACAGTGACAGATAAAATACCAGTGAGGTGTTCACAATAATGAGCAAAGTAAACATTTCTACCTTAGAGAATGTACATATATACGCATATATATATATTGCTAGTAGGAAAGAGCTGTGGAAATATGTAAATCTCCATGAATACGTCATTTTAAACGCTACAATAATATTCCCCATTTTGAAATCTCTCTAAGGAGAGAATTAAAAGCCCCATAGCTGTTGCCTTACACAGACACTATAGGTCTTAAGAGCCAGTGGATTTACCCAGTTCATGTGGGTTTTCTTTCATTATATTTCAACCTAACCTTGTCTGGCTTCACTTACCCCTCAATACCTGTTGTCAGGGCATGGTGAGGCTGGGGTGGGCACCAGCGGGGCAGTGGGGCAGCCTGCAGCGGGACCTCCCCCAGCAGCCCTGTCCCCCACACCCAGAGGTGACCAGCAGAGCCAGGCTGGGGACAGGGCACCTCTGGGACCAAGTCAAGGAGGCAAGGCTGGGATCAGCAGGGGAGGTTCATTGGGTTGAGTGCAGCTGTACCACAGCTCATGGAGGACCTAGCTTGAGGGCTGGAGCTGAAATGTGGCCCCAAAGCCCAGGGATGATTCTTCCCACTGCTCCTTCTAGCCCTATTGCTGCTTTCCCAGCAGCAAGAACCCAGATGGTGGCACAATATCAGAGCAGCCAAACTACTAGAGTCAGAGCATGTGGCAGAGCCTGTCCAAAACACCTAATATTTTTTTCTGGAAGTCTCCAGATCTACAATTTTACTTGGACAATAAAAACCACAGAAGATTGATATCAGGGTGGGTTCCCCAGCTTCAGTCTCAGAGTGCCATTGAAGTCAGACCCACTCTTCTGGCCACTTTCACCTGTAAAATTTTGGGTGTGTTTCTGTGCAGGCCAAAACCTCCAGTCTTAGTGGCATAACTCTGCCACAATGACTGGAAGCCTGTGGGAAAGCTACATAGGTAGGAAATGAAGAGGTGTTGAGTGTGCTGCTTTCATCAGTAAGGATGTGAAATAAGGTATTTCCTAATGAAGGTTTGAGGGCATTTTTATATCACTTGAGTTTTGTGATTAGATCACCATGATGCATGATCACAATGACACGTAGGCAGGGCCGCAGATCAGAGCACAGAGCTGGTGAGGGATACCATGCAGGCCCTGGTGCCACAAGGCATGTCAGGAAGGTCTGTGGAGACACCTAGACTGAGTCAAGAAGGAGCTTGCAAAAAAGCATCACCATCCCATATCTCTCAAAGACAGGCCATCCACTTGACCTATGAAATTTGAAATCAATATAGTAATTGTTTAAGTAATTATGGCACTGTTTGCTGAGGTGGTAGTAATTTCCCATTACAAGATTTCAACTCTGATAGATTAGAGGTACTCTGGTCTATCATGGAGCTGAAAGGGTTGTACCCTTTCTGGATAACATTTGTAGCTAGAAGAGAAAAAGGTCATTCATAATTATTTTTCTGGTATACTGGCTTAGCTACTCATTTGATTTATCACGTGTCCTTTCTGACACAACATGAAACAATAAGAGAGTTAGAATGTCTTTAGAGAAAACAGGCATCCAGCTCACAGAATACATCAGTTTCAGTAACACAGTTCAAATTATTCCAGCTCCTTTCAATATATTTGGGCATTTGTTCACAAGTTAGAGTTGAGTTGCTTGCAAAATAGATAGAAGAAACCTCTTTCCGTGATGTAACCAGATGCCATTTGCAGAGCCTGTGACATATGGTCCTTCAGACGTGGAGATAATCACAGAGGATAATTCTTGAGAGCCCGTTAGGATTCCAGAGTAGCTGTCTCTGCCATGTGGTGCTTGCTGATGTCTAAATATGATAAATTCACTCACTTTATTTTCAAAAACACAGCTGAAAGAGTTTTAAAAGGAGTAGCATGAAAGCAAAAAAGTATCAACCCTAATTACTCAATCAAAGTGAGAAATATATTCCTGATTCCATCCAACTTCAAGGCAAATTAATGAACTAAATAGAAATCTGCAGCTGAAACTCACTGATATGAGAATAATCTAATTTTCCACAATGAATGCAATGAGGATTTCAAGGGAGCTTTTGTTCAATACATGGCTTGGGCAGGCAGTGGATACACTTTGGTCTTTAAACCCTTTCCTCCTCTAAAAATAAAAAAAAAAAGAACCCTTGCATTCAGGGTAAGAAGCAAAAAAGCCCTAAAGTTTATGCTGTTATCACAAAAAGCATTTTAAAAATGGACCTTAACATGGGGTCTGTAAAGTACTGGCTTTTCCAGCTATGCAAAGGGGGTCGAGGCTGGTATTTGATCATATACCTTTCCCAGTTTGGTGTTGGTCCACGAGCGTTGACAAAAATAATTCGCTGGAAGAAAAAAATCAGAGTAGGTGGTTGTGAGCATCTAGAACAGCAGCAGTGCCTACACTGCGCACCTTTACCCTACACAGAAGAGGATCAAACATTAAACCCTTCTCCCAGTTCACCCCTACCACCATGCCTGGGAAAGGTGGGGATGCTCATGCCAAGGACTGGTCCAAAAGAGATTGTGGACAAGAGTACACCAGCATTAGCTTGACACACCATCAGTAGACTTTGCATCTACAGGGACCACGTCATTGGACATGTACAGCCACACTTTGTGCCATGAAACTACTGCTCAGCTGGCCTATGGCACAAACCTTACAGAGTACATCGGATCTCGGGCACTTTGGTATAAAACACATGGAATGACAGCCATAGTCCAAGGCTGAAGGTTCATCTGAAGGCCAGAGGTTGTGCAGTGCAAATGCAACCAGTCTGCTCTGGAGACAACTTGCCTTAAATAGCATGGTGCAAGGCACTTTGTGACCCTTAATCCTGAGTTTGATTCCTTAGCCTGTTAGACATATCCTGTAAATCCCTCCACCAGTCTGAGATATCTAATGAAAAAAGCAGCTTCACAGATCAGGACTGATGGGCGCTAGAAGTTTCTTTGGACAGCAGACTACTCTCAAAACAATCTAAAAAGTATAAAAAGACATGGTTCCATCACTTGAAACACTGAAATGAAGAGTTTAGTGGTTGTCACCACAGTAGCTGAAGGACATAAAAGAAAGTCCTACAGATTTCCCATGAAGTCTGTAGGAACACATAGCACATAGGAAGACGTAGCTGACTTAATATCAGCTGATGAATCTCTATCTCCCATAATATATTGGCTGTTCTATTATTTGGTCTTTCTGGTGACACAAGGAATCCTTCTTGTGGTTTTTTTTTTTCCACTGCACTGGATGAAGTAGCATCTTTTACCATGCAGAAGGTGAAAGTCTTTCTGGCCTTATACACCCATGAAAGCAATATGTGCAAAGTCTCCCATAGGTATTTTTAAACTGATACTGTTTGAAAACTGCTGAGTACCCACCTTACCTGGATAGAGGAGACTAAAATACCCTTGCTGAAACTAGAATGGGGTCAGCTGTTGACAAACAGTCTTACCTCTAGGGCACATTCTATTTGTAGAGTATTCAAACATTCTGTTTGTAGAGTAGCAAGTGGCTACTCTCTTGCTATGGGGTGTCATTGCCCAGCCCAGCTGTGTGGAGAGTGTTCAGGAGACCTCTTCATGTCTTTTAGATCCAGCATATCCCATTCAAACTGAAGAGTCCAAGAAAATTACTTGAGTCTTCAACCTTGTGCAAGTTTGGAGTTGGCTTCCTGCCAAGTCTCCGAAACTCGACAACAGGGTCTCCTTCCCAGAGAGGGAAGGAAAAAAAAAACGAAAAACCAGGCAGCCAAAGTTCTAGCAAAAATATATATATATTATGTATAAAACAGAGATATACAATGAGAATTATATGTATATAAATCTATGACCCCAAATAGCTTCCCGAAGTCAAAGGGAAGAGGGGGGAAGGGAGAAGGGAAAAGAATAAAATAGGGTGAAAAGGGACAAATAATAAAGCAGATCTACACAATCTAAAAACCCAGCAAAGCTGAAGAATTGGCAAGAGCTCACCACTTCCCTTGAAAGAAAGCAGTACGTCTGGACACAGCCCAGCACTCCCCCCTCACGCGTGGCCGATAACAGCAGTTACTGTAGGCCTCAGCTCCAGATAAGCCAGGCCCAGACAGGGACCACCGTTCTCCAACCTCGCCGGAAGAGAAGAGAGCGAACTATCTTATCAATGCCTTATTTATACCCTAGGTTACGTAAAGGAATAGCATGGAATACTTCCTTGGTCACCTTCCTAGTTCCTTCCTGGTTACAAGCTGGTTTCCAGGAAGGCCTAGACTGAAACCATCACAAACCTCTACATTCATTTGAAGCAATGGAATGGGCTGCCCAGGGAGGTGGTGGAGCCACCAGTCAACAACTGGACATGGCACTTAGTGCTATGATCTAGCTGACAAGGTGGAGATCAGTCAAAGGTTGGACTCGATGATCTGGAAGGTCTTTTCCAACCTAAATGGTTCTGTGTTTCTGTATTGTCTGAGAGGACAATCAGTTATTCTGTGTGAACTGTATAAAGCAGGTTCTGGAAACCTGTGCTTCAAGACATCAGTAGGTAAATGAGGAACAAGAGACTGTTTCTGATTCACTTGTAAAGTTTTAACTGCTCCATAGCTCATCTATGACACAAGGCAGCAGCAAATTGGCATTATCAGCCTTGGGAAGGTGAATTTTGTGCATCCCAGAGTAACAGAATATCCTCTGTCTTGAGGAATAAAATAGTATGATCAGTTAACTTTTCATATTTGTCATTTCTTCCATTTTAAAAAATGAAAATGCTTCAATTGCTTTTATTAAACTCATTTAACAACAGAGGAACTAGAATAAAGACACAGGATTTTCATGTTGCAGGCGATGTTTATCGCCTTGGATTTGTTTCCTACAAAAATGACACGGAAAAATAAAATGTGTGAATGGAAGGAACAGAAATTTTGGACACCCATGATTAGGGCATTTTGGAACTCTTGGGTTAAAATTAAGCAATTTTTGGCATTCCAAAGCTAAAGCTTTCCTTTTTTATTCACTGGCCTGAAGTTAAACTTTTTGTTTTGATCTGAGTCAACATTAATCTCTGTGTCCAATCCAGCTACCAAAAAGCCTTTTGGGAGTTTACTCCCCTCATCTTCCTGTCCTCCCAGATGGGCACTCTTCCCCAGGCAAACTGTATTTCCCATGGCCTCTCCACACAGCAGAGGTCTAGGAGCATCCTGTGATGTATTGCACTGACTCAGTCACAAGGAGAAACAGCCCTTGTTTCTCATTTTTCATGGGTACAATTTCATTGAAGTCTTTCTTCCTGTGGCAAATTTCTATTTTGATGAAACACACTGTTTCTCATAGAAAAATATGTGATTTTTTTCCTATAGGCTATTAAACACCCCTCAGAAAACAGATCTGAAGAAAGAATGAATGAAGGTCTATACCACTGAAGGCAGATTTTTCCCCTGTGAAGAAAACAAAAATAATACTTGAATTAATTTGGTAGGTAGTTCTTCTAAAATTATCAAGCATTTATTTCTATATGTTACACTGAAAGACAGAATAATACCATCTGAATTCAATGAATCTGTATGTTTACATAGCACCAATGACTTCTCCAATTTTGTGTGCCATGGCTTGTATTTTTTAGAATCAGTATATATTTATTAAGCTAGCAGTTTAGGAAAAATGTACAGTCTGAATGTCAAACTTTGTAATCAGTTTTGTTGTGCTTTTTGTTTATAGGGGGCAGGTTCAATACAATTCATGTATTTTCCAATGTAGACATATGGGAAGAAAATCACTTCTAATACCCATGGCAAAGTAAATTATTTAAATCTTCACATTCCTCACAAATTCCAGTCCTCTTTTTGCCTAGTAATTACACAGTCATGAATCTCAATTATTGTGAAATACTGTGTTATTGATAACTTGCTGTCCAAAAAGTCAACAATAATATTTAGAGCTTCTCTAAATCTGCTCATTTCCGCTACTCAGTGATAATCTTGATGGATCATAACTGGCCATCTGAGTCAGATGGGGTTGATTTTGTTACCTTTTTGGATGACATCCAATTTGAATGAGAGGAAGAAAAGATAAGAAATTATAGAGAATTACAAATGCCAAGGGTATTTATTTTTGTTTTCAGTTACTCCCTCCGGCCATTCTGGTATGAGAGCAGATCCAGTAATGTGACCTCAGAATCACAGCTGAATGTGTCAGTTCCATACACAAGCATGCCAGGGTATTTCTGCCTTTTGTAAGCTGCCATGCTTAGGCACTGTGTTCAAGGCTGGAAAGTGGAGCTCCTATTTCCCCTCACAGACTGTAGAAAGAAACCCTAGAGACAAAATAGACTTTGGTATCAGTATAGGTATAAGTGTAGGTAGAGGTATAGGTGTAGGTGTAGATGTAGATATAGGTGTAGGAACAGGTTAGGTATATACTCTCCCAGAAAAATAAAATTATTTTAGAAATGGAGATTTCCTTGGTGCCCTCTCAGAGGTATCTGATAAAAAAGAAAGACAAGGAAGACAAGTGTCCTCATTAGCCACAGTGATTCTCCAGCACTGCACTGACAAGGTGGGGGGAATGAGAAGTTTCTTACAGTTTTTGGAGACACAAAGCTGTAAAGCAAAACAGGAAAGAGCTGTTTATACAAAGAAAAAAACGTCCTTTAGGCTCCCCTAACCTGTCAGGGTGGGTAGCTAAAGATTCTGACCACATGGCTACGGGGTCTCCTTGGGACAGAGACCCAGCGAACACATCTTCCTAGCTGGGATGAACTGCTCTGGGGAGCGGGAGCACATAGCAGGGAGCAGCGGGCTGCAGCCAGCGCCAGCACCCTCTCCGCTCCTCGGCACGACGGGGGAGCATCCAAAAGGAGGAAGGAATCTCCTCCCTCCAGCTCTAGCAGCTGAATTCCCTCGCCACCACGCTGGGAGTTGGCGAGGAGGACGGCCTGTCGTTACCGATGTAAATTAAACAGTTACCACCGCAGGGTGACTCTCTGCTCTTTTCCCTGAGCAGACAGCTGCTCCAGAAAACACACGCTCGGGCTGCTCAGGCTGAAAGGAGGAACCGCTGAGATTTTATTTATAGATGCAATAGGCAGGTGTTCTGCACTTAATGTCTGCTCAGTAAGAGCTGGAATTGTCTCTTTGCCCACGACAACTACGTACGTGATTACCTTCTGTGTACATAATGCATTATATATACTCTGTATCTCTCCCTTCCCATTTGGATTCAGTGCATAACCTCCGTACAGCTGCGTTGCCCTCTCTCCTGCAGCAAAACATTTACTGATCTTATCAAGACAGAAAGATAAAGTACCGTAGACTGTGGAAAACTAAACTTTAATGGAGGAGTTCGCGCCAAGGTGTGCCTGGTGTGTTTCTGGATGCGGGAGAGTGTCGTGCAAGGAACATCAGTCCATCATTCAGAAGGAAACGCTCCATCAAGGTTTGGAAAGCCATGTATGAAATATTAATTAATTACCACTAAATCTCACTATACCATTGTGAAACTGGCACAGTGCAGTTTTATGCAGGTTTTTTTCAGAAACTGTTGCCTTTTATTTCAGCTACGTGATCATAGTACACTGCATAATTTATACGTCTTTGAGCCTTTTGTAGGGCATGTTGGTAGAAAAGCTCATCAGTACCACAGAAGCTGGGATCTTGTCAATATTAGCAAGGATTTTTTGGGGTTGGCAAACAAACACAACAAAAGCAGTTTCTGTGCTTGTGCCATCCATGATTTTGGTAACTGCAGGTTTGCTACAATGACTTGTGACAAAGCAGTAAGCAAGCACCACTAAGCTGTCCAAAATCCAAAATGAAACAAAAAGGACACCTTGCTGTTAATTCAGGATGCCTGCCATACCGTGGCACACATGTATTTTGAAAATATATGAAAATGAATTTTAAAATGGTTTCATTTGAGCTGAGGGAGAAGGTAGATCCTTTTGGGATTGCAGTGCTGTGCACCAGTCACCAGCAATGCAGAGCATAGGAGCGCAGGCAACTCCAGACTGCCACTGACAAAACCAGGAAATATTTTTTCCACATTTTTTGGTCAGAATAAATATTCTGACATACCATTTTTACGTTGGAGGAAGGCACGTTCAGGTTGTGGATAATTTCAAAACTCTTCCTCTCTTTGGAAATACCTTTTTTTGCATTTTGGAAAAATATCCGCAAGAAAGAGTGGAGAGTGCTGGGTGGTGGGGGGAGTGTCCTCAGGGGCTACTTAAGATGCCATTAGTGTCAATGAGACCACCTGGTGAGCAGACCTCAGCTGGGATACAACAGGAAGTGTATGCACAAGCAGGTAAGAAATTATGCACAGGTCAGGTACAACAGCATTGCTCCAGACCTGTGGGTGCAAGGGGCATTAATCCCACCAGAGCTGCCTACCTAAAAGCTCAGTGCCTATCCCAAGCTAAGTATCCAGACCCCCTTAACCTGCAGTGCAGAGGTACTTTGCCTCTCCTCCTAGGTTGCTGAGGGAGCCTCAGTGACGAGCTTGGGTGGGACCCCCCAACTTTACACAGCTACAGCTGGGTGAGGGGGATGTGAGGGATGTGCCAGGACTAAGAATAAAGCTCACAACTCTTTGCTTTCCAGCTCTACAATTAAACTGCTAAAACATGTTGACAATATGTCTGAATCTTGTTGGAACATCTATGGCAGAAAAACAGCTCATGCCTGTGCCTGTAATTACTTATAATTAGAACATGTAATTAGGATGTGGACAAACAGCCAGGCTCAAATGCATACAGAGGCCTGCCCCTGCCACAGCAAAATTTTTAGAATGATCAAACAACAATAATCGCATTTTGTAGCTGCTAATTTTCATAGCATGGTAAAGAAACATACACAATAACCAGCTAAACAATTCTGGTCTGTTTACAGCTCTGCCCCTCAAAAGGCAGACTGTAATCAAGATATTTGGAGAAAGCTGATGTGTTCTTTCACTTTCTTGATAAGGTCTATGCAGCATAAAGCATCACCCTGGTCTGCACTGTGCACAGGGCTATGCCACACTGATCCCCCATCCTTTAAATAATGATGGCAACCTGAGTCAACAATGACCTCCAGAGCCATAGCACAGATAGCAAAAGGAGAGCTGGCCCTGGATATCTTGTTGGACATGGGTGCAAAGAGGTGTACTTGATGTGGTTTCCACTGCAGTGGCTGCCCAGGGAAAGCGATGCAGCAGCAGAGGTCAGTGGCAGCCCCGGGGACATGGCAGAGGACAGCCCATCAGTCAACACAGCACTCTCCTTGCCTCTTACTGCCATCCCTTGATATTCCAGGCCCATGTGCTTTCTCCTTGGCACCTATGGGCAGAAAGGTAGCTGTATTTAGGACCAGAGGCAGAGGACAAGCTGGGAAAGAAGATGACTTGGATGACCAAGCCATCTGGGGGACACGCACCAGAGACCATGCTGAGACAGCCCATCCAGGCTCTGATGGAGTGCTCCACCTCACTGCCATCTGTGCTCTGCCCCATCCCCCCAAGCACAGACCATGAATCCAAACACACAGTACTACTGATACCTCTCAGAGAGGGGATTTAAATGGAAGTGAGATGCATTGCCACTTCTGCTCCACCATTTTACTGGCAAGGGAACAATTCTTCAGAAAATGTAAAGTGTCCAAGGAGTATTCATGGCACTGGCACAACATCACCTGTGCCCCACCAAAGGCACGATGCTGGGGGAACAAAACAGAGTATGTGACACAAGAGACAGCACTTTTGTCCTAACCCTCATGGCACAGTTGAAGGGCTGAAAAAAATGGGAAGGGTTTTAAAAAAAAAAGTAGTCACAATAGCCCTGAGGAAGGAATTCAGTGGATATTTCTATCTGGTACATTCATACTCAGTAATATCTCCATTTTCACTTGAAACAGTCACAGAGTATTCTGAGTTGGAAGGGACCCACATGGATCATCAAGTCCAACTCTTAATTAATGCCCCATACAGGGATCAAACCTTGGCATTATTAGCACCATGCTTTAACCAACTGAGCGAATCTCTGGGTCAGCCATAATGAAGCTGCTTCTCTGTTATTGTTGGGTTTTGCTCTCTACAGGTTCCCTACAGAAATGTAGGCAGATACCATGCCTGCTAAACCTACAGGAAAAAGCAAGTGGTGACTAGCAAGTAGAGCCAAAGCCTCAGTCAAAAATTGGCTGGATTTCAGGATTCACTCAAATGGGAAGAGGAGGCACAGGTCTGGAACTTACAGGTTCCTAGAGAATTGGAAATGCATCTGACAAAGCACAGCTTACCTGACAGGCAGCATTCTCCATGATTCTCCATGATTTTCTCCCTGCAGTCTGCATTGAAAGCTTTGCAGGGAGTCTACAGCAATGGGAGAGGAGGAGGCAAATTTTGGCCAGCAACATCCCTTGCTGCGCAGGAGACCCGAGGATGTGCAAATATTTCCAGTCATAAACCTCAACTGCAGCCCAAAATCCAAATATTTGCTCAGAGACACCTATTTCCCCCTGATCTTTACTTTTCAGAAGTATTTTATCAGATGGAGAGTAAAAATTATTTCAAATCCCTGAGGGCACATAGGCACCTTCATGCTGTCAAGAACACAGTGCACGAGTTAATTGTTCTCCAGTTTTCAATGGTGGCAGGCTATTAAATCAGCTTGGAGCTGACTCGGTACGATGCCCTCCAGTTGCAGAGTTGAGGATTTGTTCCTGTTCTCCCTAATTACTTTGGCATAATTAGTTTCTACATTGCAAGTGACTTAGCCTCTCACCTGCCAGCACGGCATTTTGTCAGTGGCTACACCAAAGTTCACCTTACCTACCACACCATCTATTCCCCTAAGTAATTTGGAAAAAGACAGGTTTTGTCTGTGGTGATCATTTAAGCATTGTACATGTCCCTAATTATTTTCCTTACTAATTTAACTAGTAATGAGGTAAAGTAAAATTTCTTTGTAATAAGGGAACTATAACTCTGGAAAAATTCCAGTCCTTCTTTATGGTAGCTGGCTTTAATGATAGTTCATGTACTTTTGCTTACAGATGAACCACTCTTAAATTCTTTCCAAACTCATGGATGAATACCATCTGGTCCTAGTGATTAATTTAATTTTTAAATTGTTCCTCATTCTTGTTACCTGCAAAAAAAGAAGCTCTAGAGCAGGCATTTCCCCCTTGTCCACTGGGATGAAGATAAATACAAGGAATTCATTTAATTTTGCTGCAATTTCCTTATTATCCCCAACTATTCCTTTTCAAAATGACAGACAATTGGATGGAATGCATTTGCTTCTCTCACTGTATAGTGTATGCAGTAAACAATTTCTTTTGCTGTTCCAACAAGCTCTGTGGTTGGCCAGCTATCTTTTGCCTGTGTAAGCAGCAGAGTACTACTGAACAAATAATTTGATTTTTCCCACCAATGATATTGGTACTGCTAGCCTGTTGAAACTGCCCCCCTCCTTCATAGACTCCTGATTCCAAGGTTCTTGGGAAGATTTTCACTTTCTTTCCCATCCCTACTAGTTACAGTCATCTATACAGTGCATGTTCCTTCCCACTGAATTCATACAATCTTAGATTTTACTCTTTCTATCTTTTTCTTCCTTTGCTTGCTTAAGAATATGAATCACTCTTAAAACAAAAAACCAAACCAAAAAAATGTACAGCACCTTACAAGTGTTTTAGCACACCTTTATAGCACACAGTTTTAAAAAATTACGCTTCCAGAGAGTTTGTGCACTGAAAACCCTTTTTGCATCTCTTAACTAAGCCTGTGGGTCCCAGGCCATCACACAGACACAGACAAGACAGAGAGCCCCAGCCCCAGCCAGCAATGTAAATGCAAGTATACACTATTCAGCAACTTTTCAAAAATTAAACACTTAACCAGACTCTTACCCACTTCACGTAGCACAAGATAATCTAATCTATAATAATACTGTGACAAACTGAACCAATAAGTATATCTTCAATCTCTGCACAGCCACATTTGAAGAAATGTCATTGTGGGCACAGTAGGAGCAACGTGTAATAAATGTTTCATTGGCTCCCACAGGTAATATTTTTGCCAAGGCAGCTGGAGAAACTGTGCAAGTTTACTGGCCCACATATTCAAGCTCAGCATCTATTTGGGGAAAACAGATGAGGACTGTATACAAATTTATATCATAAAGTAATAAAAAGCCTTAATCACAGTGACATATTTAGCTCAGACAGTATTAGTCTATTATTGTTGTTATTACTAATAGTAACACTAATATTACAACAGCCAAAGCATGGGAAGTTTCAAAGTTTTATATATAGGAAAAAAAACTCTTGCCTAGAAGCATGATTGGGGGTAAGAATTTACCAGGGATGGGAATCCCTGTCATTGCATTCATTCAGAATTAATTCCAAAGCTTTCTTTTATGACAGACATTTTTCCAAGTGCAGTAGATCAGGATGTGCATACCACTGCGATGAAAGAAGATAGTAAAAGACAGTATATCCTCTTAGAGTCAGCATCTAACTTTAATGTTGGCCTCAGGATGAGTTGAGCTGGCTTTTCTTTGCCCAAAGTACTGAAGATCATTACTTCCAATTACTCCAAAAGTTGAAGCAATCTCCAGAAAGCACAAGACTTCTGAAAAATCAGGCTAC